GACTGGGATCTTAAAAGTTAGCAAGCTGCCATGTAGATGCAGCGATGGGTCTCTCCTCGTCCAGAGCAAAGAAGAATGAAGAAAACCAAAATTCACTGAAACAATTAATCCTAGCGACTGGTACACCATCCGATCTGTAGCCTATACGACTATGAGACCAGAAGAACTAGATGGTGCCCGGCTACCACTGTCATCCACTTAGAAGGGGATCTATGTAGGAGATCCTGCATAGAGAGGGAGAACAATGTGGAACAAAACTCAAATTCCTTTGGAGGAAAAAAAGGGGGGGACCAGGTTTGCTGGTCCTATAGAGCCTGGTGGAACCATTGAGACTATGGCCCCTAGCTGCCCTTCAGGTCTGGAATTGAACCCACACCTGTGGTTTCCCAGCCAAACAAAATACAGGCAAATGAGTTGAACATTTATCTCAAGTAGATACACTCCTTGGAGAGAACAATCATGGGAGAAAGAAGGGCTCCTTATGCACAAGGAGACAGCTCAGGGGGCAGGAGTGTATGGAGGGATGGACACTGGGAAGAGGTAACTATGGGGAGGAAGTGGGAGGGGAGCTGTTGCATTGTGGTAAACTGTGGTCAATGACATGAGACCAAGTATATGTGAGCTGCTATATGGAGAGTGAATTTGCTCTGTAAATCTTCACCCAAGTCACAATTAAAAAAAAAATTAAGGTGTTAAAAATAAGGAAATTGTTATCCTTTGGGTTAATTATTTGAAAGGGGACACAGGTGAACTTTTAGGATTCACATGATTTTTATCTGAATGCTTGTTACACAAGTACGTTCACTTTGTAAAAATGCCATCAAGCTGTACACTTATCTGTGCACTTTTCTGTACGTGCACTGTACCTCAATTACATTTTACTAAAAAACAAAGATTTCTTACTTCTGTGAAAAGATTTTCATGAACTATGAGATTCAGTGGGAGCTCTGGTAGCATAGTGCCTAAGGCACTTGACTGCTAACCAGAAGGCTGGCTGTTCAAACCCACCAGGTACTCCTTGGAAGGAAGGTTGGGCAATCTACTTTCGTAGTGATGCCTCCTCGGAAACCCAAGGAGGGGTCGCTGTGAGTTGTATCTGACTGAATGGCAATGTGTTGCGTTTGTTACCTTGCATGAGATTCGGTTACTGGGTAAAATTTAAAATAATTCTGAATACTTACCATATGGCAACACCAAAAAGGCTGACAAATTACAAACAAGAATTCTTAATGTTTAAAAACTAAAATTTGGATTTTCCTATTAGCAAATGAAAGCTTAAGATTTCAATGAGAAACATTTTTCACATTCTAATGAAATATATTTCCAAATTTAAAACAAACGAATTTCTAACCAGCATCTAAAATATAAGTCCAAAACAATTACCCATCTCATTACAACTACTACTATTGCACTTTTACCCATTTTAGCCCAAATCTTCAAACGTATCTTTCATAACTGATAGCTTTCTTACATGCTTATTGATAAAGCATGCCAGTATTGCTGAAAAACAATAAGGAATCTAGTATTGTACTTGTGGGAAAATGGTTATGGATTTTACATGGCCTACACATTTAAGGAGCCCTGGTGGCACAGTGGTTAAACGCTCAGTTGCTAACTGAAATGCTGGCAATTTGAAATCACCAGCTGCTCCTAGAAGAAAGGTGTGGCTTCCATAAAGATTTACAGCCTTGTTAACGCTATGGGGCAGTTCTACCCGTCTTACAGACTAGCTATGATTAGTAGGTTTAGGTTTGGGCATGTTATATATATGTTACAATACTGCTAAATGTATCACAGTTTGTGACACAACACCTAGAGTTTAGTAAACCTTATGTTTAATAAATAGGACTTTATTTTTCTCTTTCACTTTTAAATTCCCAGTAATAACAGTTGATTTCAAAAAACAGCCCATTACTAGGTGTCAGTTCTGATAGCATGTTGTTGTTTTGTGCCATTGAGTCATCTCCGACTCATAGTGATCCCTCCTTGGGTTTCCTAGAAGTATCACTAGGGAAGTAGATTGCCCAATCCAATCTTCCTTCTGAGGAGTAGCTGGTGGGTTTGAACCGCCAACCTTCTGGTTAGCAGTTAAGTGCCTTAGGCACTATGCCACCAAAGCTCCCTCTGACAGTGTAATCCTCCCAAATACAAGTTTCAACCACGCAAATGGTGTTACACTGGCCATGAAGAACACTCTGTGATATATTCCTGCATATGAGATACCTTACTACTACAACCTTGAAAACACGGTTAATTTACAAAGCTTCATATTCAAAATATTTTGTTCACTGAATTCAATTCTTACAGGACACAGTAATCCTCTTCCCAATGATTAAAAAATGTTCCAAGTCCTTAAATAAAGAGATGGCTAAAAGCATTTTTAAAGGTTAAATAAGACACTCAAAGCTTTATATGCCACGATTAACCAATTGGGATGTATGCAGTACTCTTGATTAAAAAAGCAAGAATGTGTTACCTGAATCTAATCATCAAGTAGTAATTCAGATAAGCCCATCTTAAGTGTGGGAGCTCTGGTAGCATAGTGCCTAACGCACTTGACTGCTAACCAGAAGGCTGATGGTTCAAACCTGCCAGCCACTCCTCAGAAGGAAGGTTGGGCAATCTACTTCCGTAGTGATACCACCTAGGAAACCCAAGGAGGGCTCACTGTGAGTCGGGTCTGATTCGACGGTACATAACAACAACAACATATTATGTATCATTACAACAAAATGAACTAAGACAAAACGTCAATGTCAAGACAGACCAAAATGAGGTGACACAGAGCTATTGAGATAGATGAATGCAGTGAGTGATCTGATTATATTTCGGAGCAAAAATCAAAAGAAAAAAAAAAAAAGAATGATTGGGATATTTGAATATGAACTGAACTACAGGCTATATTTTTTTTTTCAACGTTAAATTTCTTGGATAAGATACCACTGCTGTAGGTATGTAAAGGATTGTCTTGTTCTTAAGAGATACCTGCTAAAATGTTTGGGATTAAGTCAGAATGTCTGCCACTATTTTCAAAAAGATGGGGGAGAGTGAGTATACCTAAAGAGAAAAAGCAAGCAACTACAGCAAACAACTGATCAATGACAGAAAAGGAAGTATCAGTATTAAACGTATTGTTCTTTCTAGTTTTTGTGCGTTTGAAATGTTTCAAAGCAAAAAGTAGAGGAGAAAAATTTAAAAGATAAAATTTAAAAACGCCAACACTAAGTTTTAGCCATATCTATGCCGTACCAAAACGAAAAACCTACTGCCATCCAGTAGATTCAGACTCAGCGACCAGATAGGACAAAGCTGTAAATCTTCACGGAAGCAGACTGCCACATCTTTCTTCCGCAGAGCGGCTGACAGATTCGAAATAGCCAACCTCTCAGCAGCCGAGAGCTGTTTTATACTTACTGAGATGGACAATTAAGGAAAAATACGTCTAGAACCGAAAATAAGTTCACTATGAAATAAATCAAATCAAATGGAAATTTTAAGAACTTGGAAACTACCACCCCATCCTTTAACAGATTTTTAATAAAATATGGAAGATTTTGAGATTCTAAGCTGTACTGTTTCAAAAAAAAAAAATGTTCCTGGATGTAGGACCGTGAAAAACCTGCAAATCCCTTACAAGTTTTAAGAGTACGTAACACCGTAGAAGGGAAATTAAAACATACTAATTATGAAGTGGCCGCGCGGCCTGTAAATGCCAGCTGTAATCCAGACTTTGTAAGTATGCAGCAAGGATAATCGTGCATCGACTAACACTTTTTCTGAATGGCTTGACGTAGTGTGACTTTACAGGAGAAAAATTTAATCTGTTGCCGAAAGGGCGACTAGACATAATCTTTAAAAACATGAATGTGATCCAACCAAAAAAATACTAAGTCTCTGAACACCTCCCCGAGAAACAAATAAAGCCCTAATTCCCCTGTCATCAACTATTTTCTAATCAGCGGTAATGGCCTGAAAGTAGTGGTGTAACTGGACAGTTTGTCGGGTGCAACACCCACGATTTTCACATGGCATAGACGCTATCAGGCGTTCGCCATGAGGACTACTCTAGGCCCACCTGCGGCCATCTTAAATTCGGGAAAAAAAAAAAAGCACTGAATCCGAAGACGCAGTAGCGACCACAGCAAGTACCGGAGGCATAAAAAGGTAACCTCTCTAAATCCTTTATAAGGGCTCCGTGTAGAAATTAGGCTCCAAAATCTGACTAAAGAGGTGAGCTGGACAGCAGGGCACTGTATCACGGTGCCCTAATCAAATATGGGCACTAAGGTAAGCCCAGCCGGTCACGTGCCGGGCGCCGCGCGCCCCAGTCCCCGCTCTCCCTCAAGCCTCGGTTGAGGTCTCTATGGCGCCTGCGCCCCTCCCCCAGCCGAGCTCGAGCACTTACTCCGGGGGGTAGAGTCTCAGCTCCTCGATTTCTCCTAGGAAGGAAAAAAGCGTCCGCATCTGCTCGCTGGTCACCGCCGAGGACAGATTCGTCACCTGAATCACCGCCGTAGGAGTGAGGCCGAAGCCCAAGCCCAAACCGAAGCCGCCGCTGCTGTTCATCCCGAGCCCGCCGTGCTGCCTCCCCGCTCCCCAACGTCTACGACGCGTCAGCGACAGAGCTGGGAAAGCGGAGAACGTACGGCCGCGAGCGCGCTCCCGCTGGCGAATTCACAGCACCGGGCAGGTCTAGCCACCAGTTTCACAACTCCACTGCTCCCCAGAGCTGCACGCGCCAGCCGGAAGCGTCCCTCCGGCAACCCCGGGGATGTTGGGCTGCTCCGGGCTCGGACTAGATCCCAGGTGTTGTGGGTATTGTTCCTTCCTCCTGCTCCCAGGGTATCGATTTTGTACCCTTAAAAGCTTGTGATCCTAGCAGATCCAGCTCTTTCCAGTCTCTACTCTGGGTTGGACTGGGAAACATAGCGGCCTTCTGGTGTGTGAAGGGGGAAGGACTTTCGAGCATCACTGATACTTAACAAAACTATATTGTTCTTGGGTACCATCAAATGGATTAGGACTCATAGCAACCTCATGTGGTAAGAGTGTTGTTGTTGTTTTGTGCCGTCGAGTGGTACCCGAGTCATAGCGACCCCCTCCTTGGGTTTCCAGGCAGTATCACTAGGGAAGTAGTGATACTCCTTCCTTCGGAGGAGTGGCTGGTGGGTTTGAACCGCCAGCCTTCTGGTTAGCAGGCAAGTGCCTTCGGCACTACGCTACCAGAGCTCTGGTGACAAGAGTAGGACTATGCTATAGGGTTTTCTTGGCTGCCATCTTTACGGGGATAAGCCCTAGTAGGGCAGTAGTTAAGGGTTCGGCCAAAAACAAAACAAACCAAACTCACTGCCGTGAAGTCAGTTCCGACTCATAGCGACCCCTCGTTGGGTTTTCGAGGCGGTGTCTCTGTGGAAGTAGACTGCCTTGTCATCCTTCCCAAGAGGGGCTGGTGGGTTTGAACTGCCAGCCTTCTGGTTAGCAGTCAAATGCCAGCCGCTCAGCGGGAGAAAGATGAGGCAGTCTGCTTCCGTAAAATTTATAGCTTTGGAAACCCTATGGGGCAGTACTCTGCTCTGTAGAGTCGCTTTGAGTCGGAATGAGTCGACAGCAATGGTTAACCTTTGGGTGTGAGTTTGAACTGCCAACCTCTCAGCAGCCCAGCGCCTAACCACTAGGCCTGCAAGTCATTATTGTATATGCGCAGCGCACCAACCCCCAACTACTTAAAAAATTGACCTGCGTCTTAATGGAAATTTTTACAAAATGTGTAAATTTGGATTAAGTTATGGAAGAAAGCACTAAAATAAGGCTGTGTGGTAATTTATAACTTGTAATTTGCTTATTCTGCAGGTTTTTATTGAGTGTTATTTACCAGACACTGTTAGACAAGAGCACATAAAGATAGTTACAGTCTACAGAATTTGCAATCAAATAAGAAACAAATTACAGTAATATAGAAGACTATAGGGCTGCTCTTCTCAAAAGTCTGGTCTACAGAACCCTGGGGGTCCTCAAGGTCAAAATGATGTAACAGTAAGACTTTTTATTGACATTTTCAGTTTGAAGACATTTGGATTGATGGTGTAAAAGCAATGTGGGTAAAACTGCTAGCACCATAGCAGGCATCACTAGGAGTTGTATTTGTATTCCCTGCCATGCATTCACAGTATAAAAAATGTAAAAATGTTTAAATAAGGTAATATCACTCAATGTCCTTGACAAAGAAGTAAAAATTACTGAATCCTCACTTTAATGTGGGAGCTCTGGTAGCATAGTGCCTAAGGCACTTGACTGATAACCAGAAGGCTGGCGGTTCAAACCCACCAGCCACTCCTCGTAAGGAAGGTTGTTGGGCAATCCTACTTCCGTAGTGATACTGCCTCGGAAACCCAAGGAGGGGTCGCTATGAGTTGGGGCCAACTCGATGGCAAATAACAACAACACTTTAATGTACATCTCTTTTTAATTTGTGAGACAAAATGGAAAGTATTTTGTTGTATGTCCAGGTGGGATTGTTATTTTCAGAAAAAACACTTATGTGATTATTTTTTTGAAAACTTGTGTCGACCACCTTGAGCTTGACAACGTGCCAATAGTTAAAGCCTTTGATGAAATTACTGATAATATCAATAAATGTAAGGTTTTTGATATTGTTTAGTGGAATGTGTCAACATTCAGAAGATCTCCATAAATCAATGAACAATTTACTTTCTCAAATGACCAATGCATACTGATAGAAAATCAAAGAGATTCATTCAAAATACAAGATAGACCAGTAGATTTTAATGCAGAAGAATATGAAAAGTCCATTGATACGGTTTCAGATTCATATTCCATGTTGCTGGTACACTCTAAAAAAACAACTACTTGTTGAGTTTGATGTAGTATCAAAGAAGAATATCTAGAATTATCTGAAAAGGCTATGAAAATACTTTTCCATTTTCCAACTCTATGAGATCAAGTTTTCTTCATATATTGCAAACAAATTGTATTACTGCAGATTGAATGCAGAAATAGATTTGTGAATCTGGCTATTGTTTATTAAACCAGATATTAAACAGGTCTAAAAATTGTAAATTAAAGCCACTCTTTTCACAAATTTTTCTCAAAAATGTGATTTTATCATAAAAGTAAATCATTTATATTAACAAAACAGTTTATTGTTATTTTTAAATTAATTTTTTTTTTATTTCAAATTTAATTTCTTATATGGTAAATATAGAAATGAGGATGGCGAGACTTCGGCTTGTTTATTTCGTACATGTCATCAGGGAAGACAAATCACTGGAAAAAGACATCATGGTAGGTAAAGCAGAGGGTCACTTGAAATGAAGGAAACCCCTCAATGAGATGGATTGACACAGTAGCCAAATCGATGTACTCAAGCATCCAGTGATCATGAAGATGGTGTACAGGATCTGGCAACGTTTTGTTCTGTTATACATAAGGTCCACATGAGTCAGCTGACTCAATGTAACTAAAAGTTCCTTGGAGTCCTCAAGTTTTAAGAATATAAAAGGGTCTTAAACCAAAACATTTGAGAACTGCTGCCATATGGGTAAAAATAGGGGAAATTGGAAGCACATAGGAGGGCCACTTTAACCCTAACCAAAGATTTGACAAAAGAGATGATGTTTGAGTTGAATCTTAAACATTTAAGAATTAGGGAGGAAGGAGCAGTGAAAGGGCATTTCAGGCTGAGTGTGCAGAATGTACAAAGGCAGAAGGTATGGGAGTACTAAGTGATGTTTGGGATAGCCAAAGTTTTTTATTAGCACAAAGGCAGAATGACTAGGAAAATATGCAGAAGAATAAGACTTGATGAAGGGTATTTATGATAAGAGGTCTCATAAACTGATGGCAGCCATTGAAGATCTTTGGGCAGGAGAATGACCATCAGATTCATGCTTTGGAGAAATCACTCTACCTGCAACATGGAGATGAACTGAAGAGTCGAGACTAAAGGCAAAGGGACTGTGAGGGAATTATTGTAGTAATCTAGCTAAAATATGATGAGGTTCTAAACCAAGGTAAGTGCTAGTAATGGAACACAGGAATTATTTCAAATTTGAGAGTCTTTGACCTCATATGAAGATAAGAGGAATAAAAGCTATCCACTCAGAAAAACATAAGAAGTATTAGGTACCCTTACCTGTGCTTCTTGGTGCTCCTGAAGCCCAAAAATGGGTCCCAAGGATTAACAATCACTATAGTGTAGTGCCTAAGGCACTTGATTGCTAACTAGAAACCTGGCCACTCCTAGGAAGGAAAGTTGGGCAATCTAGTTATGTAGTGATACTGTCTAGGAAACCCAAGGAGCGGTCACTATGAGTCAAGTCCAACTTGACAGCACATGCCAATAGTTTCAAACAGTGGTTCTCAAAGTTGATTGTGGACCAGAATCATGTAGCAGGCTTGTTAAAACAGATTAATGGCCCCATCTCTAGAGTTTCTGACTCAGTAGCTCTGGAGTGGGCCCTAAATATTTACATTTCTAACAAGTTGTCAGGTGATGCTGTTGATCTAAGAACCACACTTTCAGAACCACTAGTTCAGAAGGTTGTAAAAGCAGCACACTTAGCAGGTGTGGTGGTTAAGTTTGTGTGTCAACGTGACTGGGCCTGGTTGAGTGGCTGGGCAGCTGGATATAGTTATTCCCCATGGTGCAATTGGTAATTAACTCCATGGTGGAATTTATTGGAGCAGCGGAGTAGCTGCTTTGGGTTCGTGGTCTGCTTCCTGTATATAAGAAGCAGCTTTGGGAATGGTCTCCAGCTTATGGCACACTTGAACCCTGCATGTAGCCAAGTCATCGTTCAGCAGGCTGCCATGCTCTGCCAACCTTGCAACTTTCAATGGACTTGAATTAATGACCTACCATGTGGTTTGGTAACATCAGGACGGTGCCTTTTTACCTGTCAACCTTGGGCTTGTCAGTCTCAGCCAGCAGCTAGCTGTCTGAGTGAAGAAAAGCCTCTAGCTTCAGTGGGCCAGGAGGAGGAGTCAGAGCTAAAGCCTAAGATTGAGGGTCTTTCACCCAGCCCCGAGAGCCTGGCACTTTGAAATTGGACTTAAAGCCTCCAAAATATTAGAGAATAAACTCCTGTTTCTTCAAGCCATCATCCCATTTGTGATATATTCTTGTCAGAGCGGCACTCGGTAATCAGAACAGCAGGACTTAGTAATCACCTGTTGATGGTAAAGCAGAGAGAGGAATTGAGGTTTCTGGCTTAGGGGACTGGGTAAATAGTGCCACATTGTTGTTAGCTGCCATCAGGTTGGCCCCCAACTCATGATGACACCACACACAGTGGAATGAAAGACTGCTTGTGCCTGTGCCATCTCATAATCAGTTGTGGATTGGACATAGCATTTTCATTGAGTCATTTCCAGGAGTAGATCACCAGGACTGTCTTCCTAGTCTGTCTTAGACTGGAAGATCCAGTGAAATCTGTTCAGCATCATAGCACCACACAAGCTTCCACTGACCAATGAGAGGTTGCTGTACCCGAGGTGCATTGGCTGGGAATCAAACCCAGGTCTCCCTTGTGGAAGGTAAGAATTCAACTAATGAACCAGTAATGACT